CTTTGAGAGCAATCGAATTCCTTGTAAAACGATGAGAGTAAAGACGAAAGATAACGAATGTTCGTAACATCAGTTCAGATCATAAAGTCCCAAGGTCCTGTAAAACGGTCAAAGTAAATCAAAACGAGAACCATTTTAGGAGTCAAGCAAGTGTGGGGAAGATTTTCACGGCGACCTGGGTTTAAGGCTGAGTGGTTTCAGATCGGAATGGGATGGGGCGCTCTTACTTGCCGGCGGCTCTAAGTAGGGCCGGGGCCTGTCAATGTGCCCATCTCGCTTCGCAGATCTTCGTGGATGAGAACAGCCGCACCAACGTAGACAGCATCTTCGCCATCGGCGCCGGGGCCTTGCAGAGTTTCGCTGCGCGGGTCCTTCTCTACGATCTCCGTCGTACAGTAAAGCACTCTTTTCCCGGGTCGTTTGCTTTCGCGCTCCTAAAATGAGAATGCCCGGTCAAGTACAGAAAGGCGGAAGTAAGCAAGCACATTTGCATCCAGAACTCGTCGCTAAGCCATCATGCCAACCCGGTGCCATGAACCTGAACGGTATTTCGAACATCAATGTTTCTCAAGTTCGGACCCGGGACCCTGCACCCGAAATCCGGAAAATCAGTCCCGGGGCTTGTGAGAAGCTCAAGGTTCGCGAATTTGGTCTTAAGTGAAGATGCAGGCCACTGAATGTGAGAGGCACAGGGACCACATACTTTTCTTTCAGGCCTGAGGCTTTCTAATTTAGCTTCAGAGGCCCCAACCCCGATTAGGGGTCTTAGAGCCGGATGGACTTAGCATGCAGCTTACACTTGGGTATATGAAAGTCTTCGACCAATTAGTTACTGTGCGGCAGGTTTGGCCCAGTTGCAAGGCTAGGCCTGGAGCTTTGGGAACCTGCATCACAACCCTAAAGAATTTCACGCAAAAGACACCAGCTTTGATCTTGCAACTTCAACCTACGCAGACGGTGCCGTGACAACAATGGGCCCGCACAAGCATGGTGTTCTCAGGTTTTGGACCCCCCAGCACACAGTCATTACCGACGAAGCAACGGCACACTCGACTCCTCATGTGAATCCCAAGGATGTGACAGACCGGATCCAGTTGACCCCAGTGGCCCTGATGGAGGGCATGGCCATGGCGAAGACCATGTTTGGCGAGGACCCCCTAAGGGACCCAAGGGATAATGAAATATGATATCTTAATGAATGTGCTGTAAGGGCAGCTGTGTTCAGGCTGCGAGCTCTGTGGTAACTCGCAGTAATCAGCACCTATTGACACCAACTGCTTCGGGGTGGCCATGACAGCTGTAAGCTGACTATGATTTCCTCCCTTGCCTGTATCGCGGGAGGTCAATTTCTCGTACAGCTTTGTGTGCAAGCTACCTACTGTTTGCACAAACCCTTGTCGAACGGCACAAAACTCGCAACTGACTTGATCCAGTAGTTTCATTGTCTCTCTCACTCTCTCCGTCTCCTCTCACTCCCTCCTGCTCTGTTTCTTTCGCTTCACGTACATAATAGGCAGACATGGCCAGAAAAGGACGCAGCAAATGTGGCGACTGTTGCACATCTTGACGAGCCTCCTGCATTCACAGTTGCAGAACGTCAGTTTCTCGCTTGATTTTTGAGAGACGACTCGGCTTGCTGACGGATGAGTCATTGCTTACGCAACGATTTAGGAGTTTATCAGAATCAGGTTTAGTTTGGGATCCTATGTGGCAGACGGGCTTGAATCACTCTTTGTTTGGCAGAGGGCCCAGCAGTGCCTGACTATGAGAACGTGCCCAGTCCGGCCCTCGGCATGAATAGAGTTCTCTTCCTTGAGGATCCGCAGGTGCTTGTGGCCGCTGTAAGGTGATTCATCTCTGTGACCTGAGTGGGAGGTTTTTGGAAATTAACCCTTTGTGTTTAAACGAAAATGCTATGCAAGCCTTGGATGCGGAGTTCTGATGCCAGTTAATTACTAAGTCGCAGAGTTGGACTGGTTGTGCTTCCGTGTTCTGGATGACAGCTGCCAGCAGAAAGCTGAATGCTCCCACCTCCCAATCCATCCCCTGACCCGGCCCGTCCTGCCTTCGACATACCATACAGCAGCCTGTAGAACGTTTGTCGTTCCTCATGTTCGTGGGGACCAGCCTGAAGTGCTAGAACTAGAATGTTACAATCTTGCGGAGACACCCTTCCAAAGCTCCTCCTTGCATGCAAACCCCTGGCCCTACAGCCAGGTGCCGTGTTCAGTCAGCCGCCCTGCGGCACTTGCGGGCTCACGGAGGTGGCACGGCAAGCCCTGCCCTGCACCACTCCGAGCCGCTAATTCAATACATTGAGGGGTTTCGGGGTATGACAATGCACAAAATGTTGCTGAGCTTCTTGCAAGGAGAGCGGAGTGTGGGTAGAGCTGTCCGGATGCGCATGAAGTGCTTCTTTTCGTGTTGCCCTCATGACGAAGTTTCAAAGGTGAAGCTAGATAACTTTCCGCCGAAGAAACGGCTGAGAGGCGGCTGCGGCTACAAAGTATGGCAGTGTCGACGTCTACGTGACAAAGTCCGGGCCTTCTCGTGTTGCTGTCTTCGAAGGCGATAGAGAGATAGTTGAGAGTCAGTCTTGGCTGTTGGTTTCCTGACCTGCCGTATCTCTCACATCCACAGCGTGCTGGCTGCTCGCATGCTGGACAGGTTCAAGCCCATGAAGCACACGATGCCAACCGGCCGTGGGGAAGAGGACGACAGTGAAGCTGCTGGAAGCTTCCGTTTCCTGTGACAGACGGTGTATGTGCTTGGCACCGTAAAATGCTTGTGCAGCTTCTTTTCTGCTTCAGCCGAGAGCCTCAGAAGGATGACTATTCGTATGTGCATCAGCCGGGAAGACCGGCAATGGTGCTTCCCCAGCCAGATGTTCAACACACCTGGCCGCAGCTACATCCCATCAGTCACTAGCAGCTGATACCAACAGCTGTCATCAGTTCTCAAAACTCGAAGTATGCAAGACCCCCCACAGACTGACGACGAAAACACAAATTATGTTCGTCATCACCGATGATGGTCCCAAGTTGCCCTGGGAACTGGACGAAGTCGGCAGCAGCAGCAGCACGCCTCCGAGGGTGCCAGCCACCAAAGGCTACAGTGGATCATCAAAGATACTAGGCTGCTCTTGTGAGTGTGTGCGTGTGTGTAAGTTTGTTTTTTTGTTGGAGGTTTGCCCGTATAAGAAAGGTAAGCTCGTCCAGTGTTCCAATACCTGTATGGTCTGCAGGTTTGCCCGTTGATTCTGTTGCGCGAAGCGGTGCAACTCCAGAATCTCTGTGGGTGAGGTCCTGTAGACAAAAAAGCATAAGTGGCGGTGACAGAGTCGACACAGTAGCCATGGCCCAGGACTCACCTGCACTTGGGCCTGCGGCCCTGGGAAGAGCCTCCCTGTGAGGAGAGCGGGCCCGAGGCTGGAAAAGATGATCCTGGCCGAGCCCAAGCTACCGAAGGCTCGGAAGTAGGAACAATTCACGGCAACAAACAAACCAGCAGAGTGACCAACCGAATTCAAGCTCCGAGAAGGATCCGGCCCTTGCAGTTTAAGGTTTAAGATAGTTTAAGTACGTGACCTGCTACTCTCGCGAGTATGGGATCCCCGTTCCGACAGCTTCACTGCGAGGAGTTAACACTGTTAGTTAACAGTCTATCGATTTCTGTTTTCTGCAGGTGGCACACGATAAGGAGGTGGACAAGATAGAAGTCTCATTCTGTTACATCAGAAGCCAGTAAACGGAGCGATATGTCTGCATGACATGCAGCTAGCCACAGGATCAGATCAAGAGCAAATAACGCATTCGTTTCGATGTACCGTAGTATAGTGGCTATTTTGAAGTGTTTGTCGGTTGCCCCGAAGGTGAAGAAGCAGGTCTTTGATTTAAGGGCTGTGCCTTGTTGAACAGGCTTCTTCACATTTGGCAATGCACCAGAACCCCTCAAAGCATCAAATAGCAGGGAGCCCCTTGATGGGTAGGACTTTGTGACAGGACCCAGAGACATAAACAATTAAGCGACTAAGAAATTCTGTGGGAGGCCCTTCGGAAGAATCTCGGCGTCTGGATGCCAGTCTGCTTCCCCTGGCCGAGACCTGGTTCCGCTTACGATACTTTGGGGTTAAGGCTTAGATTCTTAAGTGTCGAGGAGGTAAAGCTCTAAGCGTTTAGTTGGTTTATACTGTTCGGACTTAGAGTGGCACTCGATTCTTAGATCTCTAGTTTCCTCCTAGACAAGCGCGACGCATCATGAAAAGAGCAGACTAGCGCGAGGCTTTCAAAGCATGCGCACGTCCAAGAAGCAATGGCATCTGGAATCCTGTAGATGACCCACCTCAACCTTACAAAACCCTAATCTGAACCCCAAGCCCGAATACTCAAGCAAGGAGAGGGGCGACAGCGAGGCCCTCAGTGCGCAGCTGCGTCAAGGCCGCGGTAGAGCATAGAACATCAGGCATCACTTCGTAATACGCCGCCGCTGACCACAAAGCCCGTGATAAACACATTGCTGATGTTGATCCGTTCGTAGATGGCGACGATAGTGACACTGGTGATGTATGCTGATCCATAAAGTTCCGTCGCGAAGCACTGAAGACTTCCGGCCCAGTTCGGTAGTCGAGAGCTTTGGGTCCTCAGATTCAGTTGTTCGGGAGTCCGCGCTGCTTAGGCCGGAGGCCTGCTTGGAGAAACCGATCGTGTTGCTGTGGTATGCCTTATGTGTTGCATTATTGTCGCGTCTACTCGCATCATTATTCGATTTAGCCCGGTGGCTCTGCAGTTCCTAGCACGGCCATCCTCGCTTGCATGCTAGCGTCTTTCGATTCATGTCCGTGCGACGGGCAGACTTCGTCGGTTCGTAACAGAAATAGCAGCAAGAATCGCACACAGTCGCAGCACGAGCAAATGCCGTCCCTGTGTCACGTGATCAGTGTCCTAAGGTTTTGAGGTGTACAGGGTGCCAGGGCATGTGTGATCTTGGGATTCCACAGAATCCATGTCAGCCTCCCCCAGCCCGCAGTTGCCGGCAGGATGCGAGATCAACATATTTGTCAGCGAATTCCGCTTCTACCCAGGCCCGTTTCTTCAAGCTTAGGAGGATGATTAGGCTGCTTTATGGACCTGACATGCAAAAGTCAGCTTATGCATGCCGGGAGCATACATCACCTGGTGGCGTATGCCTTTCTGCCTGCTCCTACACTTCATGTGATGTGCAGAATACGGTAGAGTCGAGAAGAAAGCTGTGGACATGAAAGCCATAAACAAACCGTAAGCCCTCCCTCACCTGAACCCTATGAAGGTTCCTTCCGGATGTATGGCACCGACTGGACGCCCCTTGCGGCAGCCGTGGCCGGAGGTCACTCGGAGGCCACGAAGGCGACATCGCACCGAGTTTCAGTCACCAGGGTTGTAGGGCGCCAGTCCATCACAGACAACTCCAGGGCTTTATGGCAATTGTTGTTTGAACGTCCCCGCTACATTGCCAGTTGGGGTAATCATTAGTAATCATCACATGCCAGACGCGCTTGCACGCAAGCCTGCAGCAAAACACTTTAATCATCACATGAGGACTCGTGGTCTTGCCATGGACGGATCGCAATTGAAGCTACAAGTACCATTCATTGCACGGTGCATAACCGTGCCTTTAAATCCAATTGTTTCTGTATGCCTTTCTGATCCTGCCGTGTATTGAACCGCAAGTTCACTGTTTGCCAAAGAGTACATAACATGGTAGACACGAGGAGCCGCCCTGGCAGCAGACTGTGTGTTTGTCCTCTATATGGCTGCCTAGAACAAGACCGTCGCTGCTGTAGCTTTCAGGGTAAGGTTGTACGGGCTTTGGGTTTCTACCAGGAGTTGGGTTGCCGGATTCTACCCAGCGCCCTGGAAACTTCGCAGGTCTTACTGGAAAATAGGGCCGACGTCAATGTGGTTTGTTGCTGCTGCACGGCTAGTGGCCCATACAGCTTCTGGACAGCCTTGGACATTGCACGCACGGGAGAGTCTTGGCTCGTTTCGGCTCTGCTCTACTTCTGTCAGAACACCTATAGAGCCTCATGGCACGCTTGCAGCCGAAGCTACCACACATGTGTCACGTGTAAACCCGACATAATCAAACGGAAGCTTTACCAACACACCCTAGAACTCTAAACCCCCTTCACCACACCGACCGTACAAACCCTGCTAGACCAGCAGGCGGCAATAACATCTTGAAGTTGGAAGTCGAAACCCTAAACCCGATTTAGCCAAAAAGCCCGATTTAGCGAATATTTGGGAATCATCGGAAATCAAAGCGAAAATAAGGACACATTGCCCTGCGAGCGGGATCCTGAGAAGCAGAAGCAGCCGAGGCCGGAGAATATATAGGAATCGGAGTGACATACATAAATATAAATATATATATATATATGTACTCGTACAGTTCAAAAGCTAGGAACCAGACTAAGCATTGAGCAACAGTCAGAATTTAGTTAGTAATGCTAATCGCCATCGTAGTAGTAAGGAACGTTTCGCCAACAACAAAAACTATGGTAATCAGAATAACCAGAGTTGCAATGCAAGACTAGCAATGTTAATCATACTAGTGCCTTTTTTTTGTATACTGTATACATGTATATAACATGTGCGTGTGTCTACGGATGTGCACAAACATAGGTTTGCGGCTAAGGGCAAGGTTCCTGCAGCCTGCTCTTTTTTCGAAGACGGTCATGGTATGTCTGTTGCACTACTATTCGAAACTAGCAAACATGTGATCAGGGCTTTTTGTCGTAGCATCTAGGTTTGACCAACAATCTGCACGACATTATTGGCCAGGCATCCGAAGATCGAGAAGATGCTGCTAGCTGCCGGAGCGAAGCCGTCAACGAAACTGCCAGAACCCCCACGAATGAACACTTATGGTGACTCGGCTGCATGAGCACATCCCAGGTGATGGAACAGCAGAGAGTGGATAAGAATGAGTTAGAAGGAGTGTTGGCAAGAAGAGGAGGATTGGAAGGACTAAGATGTCTGACGGACCAGCGAGAGCGGGAGAGAGAAACCCAGCGAAGCGATTGGTTGGGTGTGCTTAAGGCGTCTGAGCGTGAGTTCCAGAGTAAGAAACAGTTTTGAAGCTTCATTCTTTCGCTTTGATGGATGCTTGCCAGCGGCTCCTGTTCACAGTTCACAGTGCCCATTTGTGTAATATGAAATTACAGTCGCGTTTACACTCCACCATTGTCGAGATCTTACTCTTACGTGCTTCTCCCACCAGCCCAGGCAATCTGGCTGAAAAGGGAGAGCGCCAGAATCCTTGCTTGAACGAGCTGCTTGGCTTCACAAGAATGTCCACATCATCATTGGCACGATTCCTACAGTTGACTACTCGTATACACGAGTGTCAGACTTGAGCTGTATACCTCATGTGTGGACTATGACTACGCAACCTCTGAGTCTGACCTCTTTGTTTCCGAGCAAGGCATGGGTTTCCACTTCGCCCGAAGCACCTCTACACCGAAGAGGCTGGCAAAGTGAAGCACGAAGTGATAAAACCCCGGCACGCAAGTTGACGAAGAACTTGAATTTGGAAATCGCAGCGACACGAACCTAGACATTGAAATGGTACTAATTAGCAGAAGAAAGGTCCAGTGGCAATTAGTAGTATGATATGATCCATAATGACAGCAACGCCACCAAAACTAGTAAAGGCCATTCGTGATCGTCGTTGTTGTAGTAGGAGCAGTCGTGGTACTGGCAATAGTGCGCAATAATCCAAACTCTTCGACACTAAACATTCGATTATCTTTGCGGGGAGTCTTGAGCCTGGTTTTCGTGGTACTTTTGTAAGTGCGTAATCCAGCATCCCAGAGACGGATTCCATTTGCGCGAGCAAGGCAATCTGAGTTTCCGGAATTCGGCTTTAGCTCGATACGGTCCCCTTAACTCGTCGCTCTGTGTTTGGAAGCTAACCGAATTAATGAGAAGCATTAAAGGAAGAAGCGGCTTTAGCTGTGTCTCTTCTATGCAGTTCCGACGTGTGGATTCCAAACTAGTTGTGCTGCTTCCTTTCCTGGAAGTGCTGAGTCTGTGAGTCGAGACCATGCCCGACAGTGAACCACTATACAGGCCTCTCTCCCAGATAACCATGAGGAGGAGGAGCGGTTGCGCAGCGCGCCGGGCGCTCCCAAGTTCGGAAGCCGACCAGGTGGGACTTGCGGGTTTCCAAATCTCCAGGTGTGCGAAGTCCAAATAGCCAAGACCCTCGCCACCGAATCTTCAGAGACATAAATCCGTCGAGCCTGTATCCCAACCAAACCTAACAGAGAGCTTGTCTTGCCACTGGTCGTCTGCTGAACTCCTGCCTGCAGCGCACGGATGATGCATTGTTGTTGAATGACCGTAACTTCAGAACATCCCAGGTGGTGGCGGTGGTTGCCCAATGAGCAGTATGGGCGTGTTTGGGATCGGCACGAGCAAAGACGGCAGAAGGATCTACACCGGGGATGCGTTCTCGACGACTATCGGCGCATGATGATTGGCGAGCTGCTGGAAAGTAGAGTCTGGGCAGGTTAGTAGTCATCTTGCTTTGGGCTAGGTCGTGATCTAGTGACAGCTCGGAAAGACAAGACCAGTTTGATGCTTGACGAGAACACCTGTTGGGCAAATTGGGCAAAAGGACTGGCAATCCGGCAGGAAGAGGTGCTTCAAGGAGGTGTACTTCATAGTTCTTGCGCGCAGACGACTGAGAGGTCACTGGACGACAGGATGGGCCCAACAATTGAAAGAATGACACAGGCTTTCAATTCGCTGGCGGGCCGTGGTGAAGCCTTCGATCGAGCCCCACAGGTGCAAAAGAGATTGTTTCCAGGCCCTTCCAAGAACAGACTCACGGTCTCCATAAGCTTTGCCACAGCACATTGCTTGGACAATTGGAGGGGTGAACCATTTTGCTTGCAATTGGCAAGCTTCACATGCTGATTTCTGCGCAAAGCATATCCAGAAAGCACATGATCACATGCCTTGGAAGCTGCTCTGCCAGGAGCGGATCATGATGAAGCTCATTTGCGTTAGCGAGGGCTTCGAGCATGCGGGCAAGGCTCCAGTTTCCCTGTTCTGCAAAGTGGCCTCGTACTGGCCTCGTTTGACCTACACAAATCTTAGGTCTTAGGACCTTGTGACGCTTTCAGATTATTATGCAGTCGTGTTGGTTGGCTATCCTCTCCCGCTGACCACTTGGTTGCTGGAGGCAGTTTCCTGTTTCCCTCGCTTGAGATGGGAACATTCAATCATTTTGGAGAGCATGCCAGGCTGCCAGTGCAAACTACATGATCCGAGGTGCACATGTATGATGGCATGATTTGCCACGGCAGAACTGATGCCGTTTCTGCTCCGAAAGCTTCAGCAGCCTTCGAAGCAGCTTCCAGCGTCAACACGTCACTGAAGCCCACCATCAAATATTATATATATGTATACATATATATGTCCATACAATCACTCCGGCACTTGCACCCGAAATCTTAAGCCGCCGCGTACGGTGTCCCTGGGCTTCCAACCCAACGTAGCAGGTTTGCCTAAACTTCAAGCTTCAAAGTGACTTTGTGTAGCTGATGACAGAAACACATGGCGGCACGCCGGGCCCGGTGGCCCTGCACAAGGCCAGGGCAAAGGAGGCCAGCATCCAGAGGGATCCGCAATGCCAAGCCTTGTATAATATACGCATATAGTAGAATCTAAGTAGAAACAAGCAAGATCTAGATGAATAACTAAATAAATAAGTATGATGGGTGTGCATGTATATATGTATACATAGAGCTTTATAGATATGATATAGATACAAAATCATACATTGCGGGCCCCATATCGGCGGAAATATCTAGGTCGAGATATAGATATCGAAGTATAGATAATAAAACATACCACTCCGGAAGCTTCTGGGTCTTCAGCGCAGTGTAGACCAGTGAACCATGGTAATGACACGGGGTAGTGTTCGGGCAACATTGCAAGAACAAATGGGACATGGTACTGGTCTTACGGTGGGATGGCAGTGTGCAGGCTGTCATGAAGTCATGAAGTCACTCACATTGAGTAACAAAGCGGTAGTAAGGACAAGCTTTGCCTCGGAATTTCGAGATTTCCAAGATGCGGCCATGGCCAACAGCCTGAAAGGCACATGCCATAAGACTCTAGTTCATCCAAACTTTAGTAGCATAGGTGCCAAAATTCCATAACTCTCGGGGTGGGCGCGTCGTGGAAACCTGTCAAGGGCAAACGATGTCGTAAGCCTTAAGGGCGGGAGGCAAACCGACATGTTACCAGTTCAGCCCACAACTTTCCACTGCGATTAATTATTCTGCTGTGCAATACTCGTGTACTGTATCTTGTGTTTGTTCTCAGTGGCTCCATGCAACGTCAGCTTTCCTCTAGGTCATCTGGCTGCTACGCACCGAAGTTGTGATGATCCTTTCCAGAATTGTTTTTGTTAGCTCTGTTTTGCTTGGTTGACTCTTAGCTCTGTAACTTCTTAGCTGAAAAATGACGAAGTGCTTAATCTTTCTTCGAGGTTTGAAGTCAGCCGAGAATTACTAGAGTTGCTCGAGCTTTGCGACTCCTCAGACCCCAGGACGGCGTCGTTGCCGCAGCCAGGCCTGCAACCTTCGCCGTGTCAAGGCCTTCTTCGGCTTTATACCACCATCATTCGGCGGCTTCGGATTTAAGATGCTAGGAACTTAGATTTCTGGGACTTCGTGAGGTGCTTTCTGTTAGTCTTCTTGTCCTTGGTTCAGATAAAAAGCTCATAGTTGAGGGAAGTGGGCTTGAGCAAGGGAGATGTTTTCAACAGGAAGTCGTGCAGTTGATTGCTGTTGTTGGTGGTAAAGGGGATGTGGATGGTTTCACCGGCGAGCGTGAGCACAATCAGAATCCCCATGCTAGTGGCCTAAAGTTTTTAGGGCCTAAAGGTGCGCTGCCCAGAAGAAGAAAATCAGCAACAGCGGGTGTGGGGCTCTTTGTTGCGGGAGTGCGAAAGGAGGTGACGTGAAGCTGCTTGTTTCTGCTTGGACGGGCTGTCGTGGAAGTCAAGGAGATTATCGGACTTGTTCAGTGACCAGATTCAGGGCCGTCATGAGAGCCAGTTACATGGTTCCACAAATACAGCAGCGTGGCATAAGATATGGGCATTCGTATAGGGGCAAACAGACACCATGTCTTTTGGATGTAGCGGGGCAGGGCAAACTTTTCCTGACACAGGCCGATAGAAGCATACCGGGCCAACCACACTGAAACCTTCTTGACATCCTGGGACGCACAGCTCCTGCTGCCAGCTGGCCCTGCCTCTCCAGGCACAGCTGTGGTTATCCGTGTGCATGGAGGCACTTCCCAGGCTGGAGTCTTTTGAAAGGCGAAAAGTTCCAATACAACTTCGAATGCATCCAAGGCTGCATTCTGCCATCGACATTAACTCTGCATGTTGAACTTGCGGTTTGGTGCCCAGCTCTCTGCGTAGTCGGATTGGCGGCAATCTGGGTTGTGGTTTCGCTGGTCGTACCTGTACCTGGACTCTGTGTTGGTTGGACAGGGGTAATTGTTCCTCAAAACCCCTGCGCTGTTTGCCTAGGCCTAAACTCCGCACTGACCCTAAAGATCTCACGGCCTCAGCTCCTGAAGAACTCCGACTCCAACAGAAACAAGAGCCCTGCGGCTCAAGCCTTTACCAGATTCCATTTCAAAGCGTTTGCCAGCATGACGGCGTTGCAGTTGCTTTTCGCGGCGGTGCATTGTGCACTCCTGCGTGCTGCAGTGCCTGAGTCGACCGGCTCCTGCCCCTCCTGCAAAACGGAGGATGAATTTTCTTTCTGGACAGCAGAATTCACCGAGGAGGGAGATGGGAGTTCTTTGCATCTTCTGCAGAGGCAGATGCGAAGAGTCAAGGAATACCGTGAGGCGATCAAAGCCAGTGCTGCTCCTTCCGCAGATTTTGACTTCGAAGACGGCGGTGCGAAGCACAGTGCTGTCATCGAGCAGAATGAAGAAAGCAGACCTTCGCCCCTAACGCCGATGGTGGTGAAGAGCAAACCGACCAGAAGGCATTCCCTGGACTTGCACTTCAACGCCGTGATGGCCAGCTGCGGTTCGAAGATTAGCGATCCGAGTCGCTGCACAAAGGCTGTGATGCAGTCTTCAAGGAAAGTCTTCCTTCAGCTGCACTTCCAAGCAAGAATGGACGAGACCGTCCCGCCCTTGACCACAAAGGAGGTGAAGAGTTTTCAAGATCGTTTTCTGGCATTGGTCGTCGGAGGCTCTAAGAGAGTGATCACGAAGAGCACCGAGTCTGAGCGGTATTCCAGCTGGAAGAAATTGCTGCAGAATGGCTACATGGATATGAGCCCGATAATCCCTGAGTCCCTGACGAAGGAGGTCAACAAGTTGAATCAGACAGGAGCGGCCAGCTGGACGGCGGTTTACGACTCGTCTTTCATCAAGATGTCAGTTAAGGATTTCAAGAGCAAGCTCGGCTTCGTCTTACCCAAAGAGGAAGAAGAAGATATGAAGAACGAAACTCTGAAGATGGTCCAAGAGGACATGAAGCAGTTCAGTGCGGAGGAGCTTGGTAAGGCGGCATTTTCCGAGGCCTTTGACGTGAGGGAAAACTGGCCTGAGTGCAAGAATGTCACGACTCACGTGCGCTCCCAGACATGCGATAATTGCTGGAGCCATGCTACTGCCTTGACCACGGAGAGTCGGCTTTGCATCCAGACCCACGGCAAGTTCAACGGCCCACAAGCTTGGCTGAGCCAGTCCTTCATCGCAGCGTGTAGGACCGATGGCCGCAACTACTGCGGGGCTGCTGGCGGCTTGCTGGGCTTCCAGACGGTTTCGCGCTGGGGAGTTCCTACAGGTGGCCCGGACTCCGAAGGAAATATGCTGGCCGGTGTTCAGACTTGCTACCCGCAAGTGCTGCCCTACGACACTCAGGTTCGCTGCCCGGGCGCGTGTTCTCCGTACAGCAACTATCCCCGACCGCTGAGTCAGGACCTTTTCTATGTTCAGTACGAGCCCAGGAGGTTGCATTCTGGAGGCTCTCAGGTGCCCCACATGGTCCAGAAGGCACTCATGACGGAGGGCCCAATCTTGTTAGGAATGAGAATTTACCAAGACTTCCAGGCCTATAAGTCTGGTATATACAAGCCCCTGCGCAAGAGTTATAACCGCAAAATTGGAGGACATGCCATCACAGGCATGGGCTTTGGGCCTGGATATATCTTGGCCATCAATTCCTGGGGTGAGTCCTGGGGAATGAAAGGCGCTTTCCAAGTGGCTCCAGAGGCCGTCGATTTGGGCTTCTACCTTCCAGGGCGACCCCTCGGTTCTTCCACGGGTGGCGACTCCTATCCAATTCCTTTGCCTGCGAGGTATTAGGGTGTAGAGCAGTGTAGGGTTAAGGGCACATCTAGTGTTCACGCCAAGCCGCCGCCAGCGTGAAGTGGAGGATTGAAAAATGAAAGGGCACTCACCTTGACCTCACGGTGCGACCGATAAGGGAAGTCGCTGCTGGAGCTAGTGGCGTTGGCAATGCGCAAGGGAGTTGCCAAACCTGGTCATCTATCCATGCATGCAGACATCCTGTACAACCTCATGTTGACATAAAGTATGCACGTGCAAATTGGCCGGGAAAACTGATAAAACAAACAAAATAGAACATACATATGACCATATGAGTCATACACAATTCATACAAAATAAAGTAGATAAGCATACGTGCGTACATGTCCACACACAGAGACGCCAAGACCTATGCGGATGCTGCATGCTCACGTCCGTCGTCATACATCTGCCAATATAGTGTGTTTACATACGTATATATTTAATTATACTTATATACCTATGAGGTCTTGTAGCCCATCAACACCAGGCGATGGTCCGGAGGCACCTGACCTGGGCCAAGCTTCTTCAGGCCTAGGGGTTCACCTGCTTTTAGCAGGAGGGGTTCGATGGCTTAGAGTCTAGGGAAGCCCTGGGCCCAAGCAGTCTAGGGTTCGGGGTTGATTTGCAATGGTTGATGGGATATAGGGTTCACTGATTTGGGATGTTTGGTAGGTTGCTCCTCCAGTCGTCTGCTGAGTTCGAGGGCCGTTCTTAGTGGATGTCACGATGTCCTGATACGTTTGATCTGAAACCTAGCCTGGAAGCCTGGCCTCAAATCTGTGCAAGTAGGTTATCAGAGCGTAAGACGACAAGCCCAAGATCGCCCGGGCTGTTCCCGGCGCGTCCCGAGTGTGCGAACGCGAGGCCGCAGAAGATGGCGCTATCGAGACATGGATCCTGGCAGATGAGACGTTTCTCTCACCAGGTACCCATGCCAGTGGCGGGAGCCGGGAGTCTGCTAGCTAAGCCTGACAGGCGAACACCGGTGTGGCAAGAAACCTCAAGCTGTCCTTTTGCGCAAGGTGTGGATGCCATCTCACGGCGAGTTGCGTGTACGTTGGTTGCAACACGGGAAACCACGTCAATTGCAGCGACTACAGAGCATGCCTTCGGAGTTTGGACCCCTTAGAAATCATGTTCGATTTGGGTGTTAACATAAACCATGACAAAGCCAAAGGGGAATAAGATATTTGTTCTTTGGCTGTTTATCTTGGGTCAAAGGAATCCCATGCGAGGTAAGTTTGAGTTCGTTTTGTTGCACCTCCTCCTTGTTTCTACTGTTGCTAAGGCTTGCAAATCCGATGATGTTTAGTCAAGTTCTTTGTGTTCGTTTGTGCTTTCGGTCAGACGCCAAGGCATGGCAGGAGCCTCCGGTGGAGCAGCCCACTTCAAGGCTTACTCCTAGCAGCTGTATTGCTTCATGAGATTTTGCTTCCGCTGACTTGTCGTGACTTTCCGAGAGCTTCTTAGCAAATGCTTCCTTGCCTTGCTAGCCTGTGTACAGGTTTTTCCATACAAGGAGTCCGACCTCACGTCCATGCTCCTCGCAGCTGCAGAGAGAGGGAAAGTGTTCGCGGGAAGCAGGGCAAGAATCAAGACAAGGTTTCCCGTCCTTGAAGACATCCGTGCTGCCCTACCCGATCGTCAGGATGTGCCCAGGTCCAAGCTGGAAGATCTTAGCTTCACAAAAGTTCAACGTTTGGCTAGTCTTGAGATTGTCCCGCGGCAACACTCCAGACTAGCTCAGCTTTCCTGAATCTAATCATAGAAATAGACCCCTGCGGATTTTTTGGCCTGGACTAGCGGTTCCGGTATGCAGACGGTTACCGTTGGGCTGAGGCTGTGGCTCTTCACTATAATCACGAAAAGAGACCTTTGCAACTTTCTTGGTCTAACAGCTGTGTGGAAGTCGAAAGATGCGGAAGGCCGACAGTCTTGCTGGTGTATTCTCGCACTATGTAAGACGGAAAGCATTGACGAAAGTTGGTGTAGCAGGATGCTAGTTGTTTGGGTGGCTCGACAGCGGATCTGAAGGCCTCCGGAAAAGATTTCACTTCATGTATAGAATGTGCGCATCTATCAATGTTTGTTGTGTGTGTGTGTGTGTTTGCTCTCTCTCGCTCTCTCTCACTCCCCCTCTCCATGTTTCTCATGTTCGTGTTATATTATATCCATGTGTATATATATATATACACAAATGTGAACATATATATATATATATATGAGTGTGTGTGTGTGTGTGTGTTTGTGTATATGTATATGTATATACACCTCTCTCTCTCTCTTTTCTAATGGCCCCGTGTAGCGTGATTATCATGCTGACATATAAATCATGCTGGTGTGCCTGCATACACACATGAGCAATTATTGGTGGCGCTTGTGTATGTGTGTGTGTGTCTTTTGCATGTGTTGTTCTTGTTGGAAGCCGTTGAGCCGCGTGACTTGCGATTTGTGTGCTTGAGTAGGCGAAGCCACATGCACATACATCCCGATGTTCATGCACTTGAAGTACAATCCGAGCATATAGACTACGCTCGGGCTCGTGCCTTCATAGTGTGCGCGCACGTTGTCTCTACACGTAGATATGTGTATACACACATGTATATACATATATATATATGTATATATATATATATAAATATATATGTATACATATATATATATATACATATTTGGGTCAGTAATGGTGAATGTGCCATATGCGTACTTATGAACCGAACCGGCGACACTGCGAGTGCATTCTGGAGCAAACTGCAGAAGCGTTTGTGAGGTGCGAGACTGTTTCGAACTCCCCGGGCCTAAAAGCCTGGCCTGGGCATTCCACATGGAGTCGTTGCTCCTTTGGTGGCGTGCTTTGGAGAGAAAACAAAGGACTCAATGCTTTGGTTGAAAAAATGATAAAAGGACGGGCGGCTAGCAAGGCATAGGTACTCAGTCTATCGATACTCTGGTCGGCTTGGGATGGCTTGGGGTTGTCGGGACAGGTCTTCGAGTGCTTTGCGCTATGTGATCTTGAGCGATCTGTACTCGTAGGACTATCAGGATGTAGAGACTTGGCTAGAGAGTAAGTTTCAAGTTTACTTGTTCTTTTGACACTGAAGTTTAGCGTTCGGGGCGTTGAGGGCTTGAGCTTTCGTCAACGAGGCCTCCTTGGTCCCGGCGATAGCAGCCGATAGCATGTATATTGTGTTGCGTGTTATGTTTGATGCTAGTTAATCCTGAGTATTGGCAACACTGGCTCAGGTGTAGTGTTGCCATGAAGGATGAAGGAGATGGAGCCGTCTTTGCAATGGAAAGAGGGCGGAGGTGCACCAAGAGGCTGAGGCCCCAAGCGAACAATTGCGGTGTCCTGAAGCGGAACTGAAGTAAAGCGCAGCAGCAACAACCAAACTCTTCTGACCAGCTTTGGCATTTCTAGTGACCTATATAGTGTTTTGAGTCGTTAAGTGCAGTTTCCCCTGACGTGTTGTTTCAGTCTTTTCGACGCATTAGCCAGTGTCTGCAGCAAGAGCCAGAGGTACGGCCCTTTCGGGATCCAAACCAAAGCACGTTTGGGTCATCGAGGATGACGCGGCATATTCCGGCGACCTGCTGCATTTTGTCAGAAGCTACGAGACTCTCAGCCAGGCTTAGTCACAGCGAGTGCGAGCGAGAAAGAAGGAGAGAGAGAGAGAGCCCTACAAAGCCCCGAAACAGGGGTGCGCCTCACGGCGCGGGGTGCCTGAATCGCACCCTATGCCCCGGAGAACAGAACAAAACAGAGAGAGAGAGAGAGAGAGAGAGAGCGGGAGGCGTACAGAAAGCGGACGATGCGCGCCTTGTGGGGTGTCTATAGGCCTTCGGGCCAAGGGGTTGTCTGCAGCCCCTACGCCGCAAGCAAGCAAGCAAGCAAGCAAGAGGGAGGCGTAGCGCAGATGGGCAGGAGGTGGGGGGCACGCTTCCTTATCCCCAAACGCCGGGCAAGCAAGTAAGCAAGACGCAGAGAGAGGGACTGCCCCCGTCCCCATTTCGTGCACATGAGACCGCTCCTTCGAGCCGCAGACCTCCAGCCCACAAGAAAGACAGACGCAGCTGCAGAAGGTCACGCCCTTACCCCAAGAAACGGATCAACACACGCACACACAGGGAGACACAGAGAGAGTGTCGTCATGTGTCGGTAAGCGCAACTGTGTGCATGCGAGAGCTCGTGTGTGTTTGTTCTTGCGTATTCGGGTCCACTGCTTTGCCGTTTTGCCATGCTTTCCCACAAGGCGCAGCGAAGGCAATAACACCTTTCCATCTGTGTCCTCCACCGGCACGACCATCTACAGCCTGTGCGGCAAGTATTTACTGAAGCCAAAAGCCCTGCCAAAGAAACCTTCACCGCAGATCCCAGGACGGACGAGTCAGATCTGATCACACATGGTCTTTGCGTTGCTGAGCCCAGCTGGGCCTGGGCCCAAGTGGGCACGTCGGTCCTCGAGGGCTCGACAGAAAGCACCTCCCAAGGATCCTGCTCTAGCCGCTAGCCTGAGCGCTTGTGGAACAAATGGCACAAATCTGCTTTTTTATGGTTTTGGCGAGGTGTGGTACCATGCCGGCTCCGCGGCTTTCGCTCAGCTGCTGCAGTCTTCTCGGCAGTCAAGGAGCCCCCGGTTTTTCTAAGAAATCTCCGGAGCTCCAACAACACAAAAGCGAGGTTAGGTCCTGTCAGGTTCGGAGACTTTCCGTGTTTCGGTTCGGTATGGTTGAGGGTCTGTGGCCATGTAAGACAAAAGCTAGTGGCGAAGACGGCGTCGGTTTTGGATGGAGCTCAGGAGGACAGACGTCCGAGCACGCTTCACTGTGTTCAGAACAACCAACAAGCGTGCAAAGACGCAGACGGCTCCTCTACTCTACTTTCCCTGCAAAAACACAGAGGCTCTTAAGAGTACTTGGTTCATGCAACATGCCAATGCAACCCCATCCCCTGCCCCGCTGCAGACTGTGGCTAGGCTCCGCTGTGCGGAGCATCTGCAGCGCTGGTCTTGCCGGTTACTGGGCGCGTTGGACATCTTTGCCCAGAGACCCGGCGCATTTGAGATGTCAGCAGTTGGGTGGGCTAATGTGTGTTCCGCGGTTCGAGGATTGGGCGCATGATCTGGTCGAGGTTGCACCTACTGGGCTCGATTTTACGCGTTCCCGACTAAAAACGAGCAGTGACACTACTACTCATGCACATTATCCAGCATAGGGTGACCATCGTCCCCTACTGGGTCTTGATCTAAAGATGTGAGAGTACAGTCGAACTTGTGAAGCCTGGAGCCAGCAATGCGGGCTAGCGTCAGGGTAAAGCGGTTTTGTGGCCGTAGAATGCTTGGTCGAGATGCCTTCATGTGCCCTTTATACATATATATATATATATATAAATTTTTTTTGTTTTTAATCTGTGCAAAGCTTGCTCAGTCCCGGCCCTGATCCTTCATATATACCGGGCCTTCACTCGCCAGGCGTGGCATCGCGGCTTGGAGCGAGATGTCCGTCCCTACCCTGGCCAGAGCTGCCAGCCTCACCACGGCCTCCCTGCACACGGAGCACGCGCTTGGGGCTGAAGATGAAGACATAGCACTTGTCGCACACGGCGATTAGTAATTGTTCTTCTTTGCAATTGCTCTGCATCGTTGCTTTTGTCGTGGCATGGCGGCGCGGCCAGTCTGCAGCGATGGTCAAGACGTCCGAAGAGCATGTCAATCTTGTCGTCGCAGGCCCTGTTCCAGTCCAGGGGCATTCTGCGTGTTTAGCTGGCGGTGAGTTTGCACCCTTCTGTCGTTCTTCAGAAGAAGTCTGCTGCTACAGACTGTTGCCGCCATACATGAGGCGTTGAGTTGTCGTCATCCGATAGGATGGATTGAAGTGAAATCCTGAACCCTACATTAGCAGCTTGTTTTGGTATTTATGATTTGAAATTCATAGACCACAGCTTTCCTCGTCGAGGTGGGTGCCATTTATGCCTTCGATGGCAAGGCCGGGTGGCAGAGTGGGGCGCGGATAAGTAGCAGGGGTCGGAGAGCGACCACAAGTTCACCACGCCTCGATTGGCTGATTGGCAATTGGAAGTTGATCTTCTGGTTTTGCTTTGACTTGACTATTAAACGACTTGTTACTTGTTCCCTTCTGTTACGACAAGTATCAAAGAGTGCTGCTGTCCAGCCAACTCTTTACTCGATGCTCACATGCCAAACCTCGTCTTCTTTCGTGGTAAAACAGATCTTCTCAAGTCGGGCCTCAGGCCAAAAATGAGCCTTGCTCTTAGCCAAACGGACTGAGTAGCTGAGTAGCAAAGAGCGCTTCGTCGCTAGGATCTTTTGAGCTGCCGTGCCGCGCTGGATCTTTGTTTGGCTGATTGCTTGGTAAGATGAACCCTAGAACCCTCGCTTGGGGTGGGGTGGGCACCTGTCACCGACCAGTGGCCACATGTGCCAGCCTTCGAACCACGGACAAGCCTCGCCTGCGCCGAGCCGCGAGAGTCCAAATCCCAACCCGGGCTCCGGCCACCGGAACTCAGTTCTCTCCCACGAGCTTTCCTGATGGGGGTCCGAGGTGCCGGAGGCTGCCTGGCCTCGCTCCTTGGAAGATTACATGTACCAGTACCAATACATTTCCAGGTTCGTCCTAGCCAGGCGGGAGGCAACAAATAAATTTCCAGAATGGTCTACCGTATAATTGTATCATAGAGTATACCACAAAACAAGAATCCAATTATTAGTTGAGTTTGGATTTTTCAAGCCAGGTGGGGCCTGGGTTTCGGTTCAAGCCCAGGACTGCTTGAAGGGATGATCGTGAGGAGGTATCTTCTCAGTGCCAGCAAATCATGTGAAGAGGTGCCATGCTTTGGCTCCTTACGAGTCATCTTCAACCACTCGGTGTGCAGCCGAGGATTGTGCGAAGACAGCAGAACCAAGGACCGTTGGTGGCATGCCTTGAAGTGGTGAGAAGAAAAAGATGCACCGCTTCAGAACTTGCGATAGCTCTAAGTCGAAGTCGTTATCCAGTCATGCATTTTGTAATCTGACGCTGCTAAGCCTTTTGTGTACTTCCTGGAGTGTCTGAGTCTGAGCTTCGGAACCCCGAAGTCTGAGAGCAGCCGCAGCCGGGCTGGCAGGTGGTTGGCTGTCACATGGCCGGCGGCTTACTTGAGCCGAAGACCAGGAATTCTGGACGCAACTCTGTTCTTGGATGCTGGGAGGCTTCCGGACATACATTATAAACCGAACTAAAACCTCAATGTCAACACCAAATCAAATCGCTTGACGGCCATTCATGTTCAAGCCCTGCTGCGGGGGATACTGCTTTGCAGATTCGCCGGCCTGAAAAGATAAGCAGTAAATTGTGGGTACAGTATGTTGGAGTCTGAGCCGCATCTCCGACTCCTGTCCGCAAGGTCAGTGCGTAGACACTTTGTTTGGCCTGGGCGGAGTCCACGATTCCGATCGATCCCAGCAAGTGTTTTTTGTTGGCTTACGCATACATCAGACCCTATAGTTATAGTAGGCACCATGCCCACGGAACTGGCACACCCCCTCCCCTATACAGCTCAACAAATTGCTGGTGCTTGGAGGTGCTGGAACTCCGTCGCGCCATGCATGGGTCTAGCATCATGCTAGTGTATGTGTGTATACCTTGGCCAAAATCGCGTGAACCTGTTTGACGGCTCTGCTTATGGATGGAGAACCTATCTGTGCTTTGCGGAACCTGTGCACCCGGAAATTGGGGAATTGCAGGTTGTCATAGTCCTAGCCAGGCAACGACGGCAAGAAACATCGCGATGGAATGTGACGCTTTTGTGGACACCTGCTTCGTTGTGAATCAGAACATCAACGCCTACGAAGTACGAAGGTCACTAGGTAAGGTGTTCGGCCAAACAGCCTTTGCAGATTCCTCCGAAGCCCGCACAACCGTAAACCCTCAAATGCTCCAGAACCTCCCTGTACCAGTCGTACCTGCATGTGCAAAAGGTCGGTGCAGATGCTGGCGAGATGATGCAGGGCATCGGCATCGCCATGAAGGCCCGACTTCAGATTCGAATGCGAATTTAAAGGCGGGACTTGGCGATCAGATTTTGCGACGAGCTCCCGAAGCCGCCAGGACGGACAGTCCCGGTTGTGGGTTTTGGGTTCCGGTAACCGGAGGTGCTTTTCGAGCGGACTGAGTGCGGGCTTTAGCTCAGCTCGACTGGACTCGCATGTCTTCAGTTCTTTTCACTAGCCTAAAGTCAATCGCGGCAGCCAGCACTGACACTTCCAGTGGCAGAAAGGACCGTACAGAAGGCTATCGCAGTCACGTTGCACCTAACATGCCCTGGGTAATGGAAGTCGATGAGCATGCCACTAGATCACTAGATGGCCCCGAGGTCCAAGCAGCAAGCGTATGGTTCAGCTTTCAGTTTTCTGAAGGTTCCAGACGTAAACGGTGATATTGCAAGCAGTATCGAATCTTCGCCCTGTTTCGCACCACGCTGCAGTTAGGAACATCACGCAGCCTGCAATTGCATGTGCATAATGATGGAGCCGACGCCCGACACCCGACCGACGCAAGCAGGCTGGTGCGACCAAAGCCGACTTTGACTCCACGGCTGGATGCCAAGATGATGTACATGTATTTCTAATTCGTTGAATACATGCCCTTATATATTATACACACATAGAAACATTCCCTACACCGCCTACGCTGGTTCCTATAGCATTGTTAATCAGAAAAATTATGCCTCGGGTTCATATATTTACACACGGTATAGAGACTTGTTCTGCGGTGCGGTCACCAAACTTTCGCATTGAACTTGAAGCTCGCGACAGATTGGAATCCACCCGACTGCTGCGGAAGAATGGCTCGAGACTGAGCGCTCCCGTGTCGCCGACACACTCGATGTGCAGCAGGGTAGCGAGAAGATGGATGAAGATGGCAACTCAAAGGCTTATCGGTTCTTCTGGCCCCAGGTGCACTATGCGCACGAAGACTCGTCTCAACCTCAGGCTTTGCAGCAACACTCGTCGCGTTGTCGTCTCCATTCTGGGTGACTGCCGAATACACAGGCTCGTGCAAAGAGCAGCAAGCAGACAACGACCAACCCGGTGTCCCAGGAACAACAACTGCTGCCGATGTGGCCATTGGCTAAGTGAGGTGATCACATGGCAAGTGCAACTCCGAGAGGCTAGTTCTGTGAACTTGTGGAGGGTGTTGTCTGCTCTGAGCACAGAGTGGTAATAGCCTTTCCGACAGTAACATGCTATAAGCACTATATGGCTGCCATGATTGCTTTCTTCGTGCTGGCATTGCCGCCGTCTACACTGCCATTGACGATATGTTCATTGCAGTGCTGTATCAATGCTTGCATGAAATCAGAGTGGCTTTGGGCTTGCACCTCTGAGGTGTTAACTGGAAATCCTCTGAGTGTTTGGAGTTGCTTGCTCTTCCAGACCTTCGAGTTACCATCTAGAATAGCATGATGCAGTCAGAAGTCACATCTCGTCTGAGTTCGCTGGCCGACCTGTGAGTGTCCAAATCTGGAACCCTTCCGGATGACCACCCAACTCAAGGGCTCCGGGTCTTCATGCGCCCTAGGCCAAAGCATGAGCGACATGGAGGTCGGAGGGCTGCGGGGCGGCGGGGGTTGGGGGGCATTTGGCAATTCGCGGCGATTGATGGTGACAGTGTAGGAATTTGGGAGATGTTTCGGAAACTTAAGGGCCTAGCCCGAAAGACGGCAGGGAGGTTTCAGGTTGTCAAATGTTGTCACTCTGGGTCCTTGCGACACAATGAGGTAGGCTTGCTGGAAAGATCAGTGGGCAGATTGCTCGAAAAGATTGCTGGCATCTATACAACTGAGGCAGTGAGATGACACGGTTCGCGAGTTGTAATGAGTTGTTGCTGTCAGTCTCATTTTTTCGCTCTCTGTCCTGCTCGTCCCTGACCGAACGGCTTTCTGGTCCTGGTGCCATCGACGTCGGTGTAAACTTTGTGCACTATAAGACAGCAGAAAGACCCGGTAGCTCGACGTTGCTGCTTGACTAGCTATATACTGGTAGCTTGGTTCAGACCATGTTCAGACCTAGGACTAGGATTTGGGGGCGCGTGTTGTTCAACACTGAGGTTGAAAGTAGCTTGTATATACTACAGCATTTGTGTCATCGAGTTTTTTGCTTGCAATATGCATACTCACACGCACATATACATACATACATACATACATACATACATACATACATACATACATACATACATATATATATATATATGTATATGTATGTATGTATGCACACACACACACACCAAACGAAGTGTTTTCTGATCAGAGAGTCTTGCCCGTCGTAAGCACATCAACATGGGGCAGATTGCAGTAGAATATCAGTCGCTCTTCCAGAGTCGGGGCCAGGGATCTTCAGGACAGGAGCCTGCCATAGTTAGGCTGATGTGCCTTGTCTTGGAAGAAAGAAAACGTGGCGCGCGGACAAAATGCAAGAGCCTGCGAGGATGCCCACGGCAAATTCAACCTCTTAGCCACGTTTGCCTGCATTAGGCACGATCGTGACATGAAGGATTCAGGTGTTTCGGTGGCACATACGTGGTTTCTGCAAGAAATTGTTCTGCAAAAGCCATGCGGGAGTCACATGGAAGCTTGAAACCGACAGCTGCACCCCCTATCCAAGGCTTCATAAGTTTAGGCAAAACGTTACACGTCCGCGTTCCACATACGAGCCGCTAAGTTTCGGGGGCCACTGCTGTTTTAGGGGTGTGACGGATGCCATGCAGAACTCCGATGGCGAGCCGGCTGCAGCTAGGACTGCAAGGGTGATGTGGACGATGACGAGTTTGGCTCAGTTCGGCACCGAAGCAGACACCTGCAACGTGCACTCGCGGGTATGGCCAAACGTGCTTGCACCACTTCTGTGAACAGTTCGCAGACAGCTGTATATACACTTTACACCAGCGTATACCGTCGGCCATGACAAGCACTCAGGGCCGGGGCTGCCTTTGGGGATGTGGAGAGGTGCCAGATATCTACCGTTCCTGGAAGCTGGGGAGTCATTTCGAGCCACGCATGCAATGCTCCAGGGAACCTTCCCACAGCCTTGAACCCGACCGCCAAGGTGGTTCGAAGCTTCCAGGGCGCTTCCGACGTGCGCCTGACGGCGGCAACGCTGATCCGGTGCCGAGACCAGGTGGCCACGGGCACTCAGGACCTCGTATTTAACGTTGAGTGGTGCCTGCCGATCGGAGAAAGTCTTACTGAGACGGCAGTAGGCTTTTAGAGGCTGCTTCGGTCCAGGACAACGCATGAGTGGTATTTACGTAGCATCAGGCGTGATAAGCCCAATAGTCGAAGAACATGAGACACAAGCTGCTAGCCAGCTTACACATGAAACCCTCCAACACCATGTCCTCGCCTGTTGTCGAAGTAGTGCAGTTCCCTGGTAAACAAGAAGGTCGTGGAACGCCCAAATTCCACCTTTCGGCGAGAGGATGGCAACCTTTTGCTGTGGAACCTGGCGCCCGGGCGCCCGCGGCCTCAGAGGCTCACGGGCCAGTCCGGATCCATCACGTGCATCAAGGCCGGGCAGCGGGCAGACCTTGAAGACTTCGGAGGTTGGAAATCTTTCTCGCATTTTTTCCACGCCACCTAAAAGTCTGCGACGGTCTGCCTCTCCGACGTCAGAGACCTGAAGCATCCAGACAAAGCATTACAGGAATACGGCTCTTCTTCTTTACCTCAAGCCCCAAATCCAGATGAACCCCCATCGACATGTGAGCAGCCCGGTATGTGGCGTTATTGAGTCCATATTCGGTGACAAAACAAACCTGGACCCGGGGAGTCAGCTGAAGAGAGCTGAGACCGGCCTTGCAAGGCGTCCGGGTCCGGAAAGACGCTGGTCTCGGCCTCCACAGATTCCACGGTGGCCATTTGGAAGATGCCTGTGCGGGGTTGACGAAACTAGGCCTTTCCAATTGTGGTGATTCTGTTCTGATTAGTTGCGATGTCTCCTTCAGTCTCGCGACCTGCCTTCAGGTCGAGAAGAGACAGACCCCAGCGATGTTGAAGTTGCACTTCAGCCCTGTGCGCTGCTGCGACATCTCGACTGATGAGCGCTTGCTTCTCACTGCCTCGGACGACAAATCTGTAAAGCTGACCTGGCTGGCCGAGCGCCGCTTCGCCGCGGCATTTGCAGGGCACTCGAACTGGGTTCGGTCTGCATCCCTGTCCTCGAGCTCTACACACATGGTCTCGGGTGGCGATGATAAGACTGTGAAGCTTTGGGACGTGGAGCACAAGTCTTGCTTGCAGACCTTCAGCGATAGCGCTTCAAGCATCACCTGCACTCGCTTCGGCTTGGGCGACCACGTCATTATTGCGAGCTCCTGGGATTCCAGCATCAATCTGTGGGATGTCCGCTCCTATGGGATCCGCCAGCATTACGGGCGAGCCCATGGGGGAAGTCCCATTACCCAGGTCAGGGGTCAGAGAGAGTGTGGTTTGTCGAACGGAGCATCTCAGAAAGGTTTAGAAGAAGAAGCTTTGCTCTCCCTGCAGGTGGCCGTCCACCCGCGCAGCGACCTGATCTTGTCCTCTTCCTCGGACCGACAGCTGCGAGTTTGGGATCTCCGCGCAGGGAAGCTTTGCTGCACTGTTCTTGGCCACGAGCGCCCGGTGCATTCCTGTGGCTTCGATGAAGCCGGGGACCATTTCCTCAGCTGCGACAGCGAGATGGTCCTCTATTGGTCCCTTTTCTGCAAACTCACCCTGTTATAGGAGCTCCAAGTTCTGGAAATGTCGCTCTTCTCATGCCGATGGCTGTCGGGCTTGCAAAACCCAGAGGGCCGAAGCCATCCGATACCCGAACGTCCCGCGTCTCAGAGAGAGAGCCTCCCAAGTCAAGGCTTTGTCCTCGTGACGAAAATCACGAAAGCCGTCATACCCGACTGCCCCACCCTCAGGTCCTGTCCACCATTGGCAGCACCCTGCCCTCCGGCGCAGCCGGAGCCTACTCCCATCTCTCTCGAGGCCGATGCCCTGAACCTCCCGACGCTGGGCCAAGAGGATGGTTTTGGCTGTAAAACAGGGTGCGAAAAAGGTGGGGCACAACCATTCGTTTTTTGATTGCTCCAGTACTTGTATACTCATCGACGACCAGAGGCTGAAATTGTTGGATTCCCGCTCTCCGGATGACCAGGAACCTTCGAAGCTTTTGGATAGGGGTAGACTCCTATCAATAAATGTCCTCAGCAGCCGTGCAAAGTGGGCCCTTGCCTGTTCTGAATTACATATACATACACAATCATACATACATACATACATACATACATACATACATACATACATACATATATACATATATATCAGATATGCATTGGGTACTGGGCAAAGCCAAGCACGAGGTCCGTATCGCGGGGCCCAGTGCCTGAGGCTCAAGTATCACAAAGGCATTTCGCCCAGCTTCTTTGAGACCAGGTCTTGCTCCATTTCATTCCATTTCTCAGCCAAGGAGTTCCGCGCCCCGCATCGACGGCCCGGTATCCGAAGCGGCCAGAAGCGCCGAGGCTTCCGACCCGCTCTTGGCAGGGGAGGCCGCGTTTGAGGGATGCTTTGCGTTTCCGTGTGGCCCGGGGGGGGGGGTGGAGTGGAGATTCTTACCGCAAGATCGCTTGGAGGCTCTTGTGACTTTGCAGCATTTCGGACGGTCTTATGTTTTACGGGAAGATCAAAGGAAATTGAAGCTCGACCCAACCGCCAGCACGCGGTCGAAGAGTACTATAGTTTTGCAACAGCGACAGACAAGTTCCGAAAATGCGGACCTCAATCCGCAGGCCCTTCAACCTCCTGAGCCTGCGGTTGCCAAGCAGTGCGAGGCAGCCCGATCGACGCAGGCCGAGGTGCCCAGGAGCCGAAAGGCTCCGAAGGAGGACGGGCAAAGATGTCAGGGCTAGGGTCCGGCTTGAGCCGAGGGCTTGCGATGACCATGGTACAGTAGCTGGCATGCTGCTACCGATCGGCCTTGAGCTATTAGGCATTGAAGGTGAAAGCTATGGTGAGGGTGATGGCCACGAAGACAAACGTTGTGATGGATGGTCGCGATGCCATTGTTGCTGCTGCACTGCAGTTCGTGATGTTGATGAGGATGCGAAAAAGTCATGATGGTGGTGCTGACTAGGATCACCGAATCCAGGGTGTGAGGACGAAATAGGTAAGGCAGATCGAGGGCAGCCTGATCCGCAGGCCGAGAAGCTCATTGGTTGGATTGCTAGACCGTCCATGCATGTCTACAGGGCAACTGCTGGTCCACAAAAGACTGCAACAAATCTCGGCTACTATGCCATGTCTCTCCCAGCGTTCTTGGTTCCAAAGCTGGTTGCAACCGGGCTCGGATGGGATGGTTTTCACCGAGGAGCATCTCCGGGAGGCCCTGCCCGAGGTCGTGGCTCGGATGGTGGAGAAAATGGTCACCGACATGGCCTCTCTTCACCAAAACGGGATCTTAGTGAAGTCGAAAGGGGGCTGCAGGTTCAGACTAGCATCGATTGTTGATCGTGAATCGTGGAGGGGCTCCAAGCCAAACACGTCGGCCAACCAAGGCCAGTAACTACAGTGGTGCTGCTAGGGCTGACTCGACAGGCACTTCAGAACCAATACCTCGGGAATCTGTTGCAAAGAGGCTTTGGCTAGGCGCTAGCGTGAGGTGCCAACCACGTCGAAGAGCAGTAACTCGTTTCGTGTTGTGCCCAGACGAGAGTTCTTCCCTGTGTCCACCGAGGACACCTTGACGGCCACGCTTGCAGCACTGGAAGCTCGGATGACTCGTACAGAGGCGTGGTGTGACCGGGTATAAGTCACTTCTCATGCGTACAATGCTCGCCCTGCCGTGGCTGGCAGGGCCACATGCAAGCAGCAACCTAGCTTCTCGCCGGGGCAATCGGCCCCGGATGTACCGCCGCTGCTGATCCTGCTCTTGTCTTTGTTCGATTACAGCTGGTTCTCATCATTCAGTTGAGTTGCGTTCTAAGCCAAAGGTTCGGAGGAGGCTGATGATGTTCATGTTTCGGAGCCGATACTGCCCGCAATGCTTTACTTGTGCCTGCGGCTCGTGACGTGACCAGTTTTGGGGGCTGTGAAGACGCTAGGTTGTTGAGCGGCAAATGTCCATGATACCAGTGCTTCTCTCCGATCTTGTTCCGAGTTTCTCGATACTGCATCAACCAATGCCCATGCGCTTGGAATTGCATGGAACATCTCGCAGAACAATCCTTGTGATCCTAGTTTGCGGCACTGATTTCGGAATGTTGCTATACCCTTCCTCTTTCCGGCACAACGGGCAGGCCATCACCGCCGAGGTGGTGCAGCTGATGCGGGCCCAGCCCGAGACCACACTGGAGGCAGAAATTGAACCTTCTTTTTTAAACCATGCATTAGTCTAAGTTGATGCCGCGATTTGTTTGTTCAGCCGCTTGGTTGAAGTGAAGGAAAGCCATTCAGCTCCCATATTGCCCCAAATGCAGTTGTACAGTGTCTGTGCTCCGGTACTGTAGCAGGTAGCTCAGCGCAAATATGTTGAAAGCTGTAACTTCGGCATGGGCACGGCGTGGGCAGCATTCTTGGATCTCCGAATCTTTTTTGGACCTGGGGCATTGCCTCTGGGATCGATCGTCGCTGCAGCGCCTTCGTCCCATGTTGTGGCAGGTCCCGGCTGCACAGAGTGAGAAAGCAGCAGTTCCGAGTGATTGAAGATGCGTGGTGATGCCGGACACGAAGCAATCCTACAGGGCAACCGTGCTTTTCTCAGTTGTAGCTTTCACTGGCAGTCATCCGGTTGGCTTAGGGCTTAGGGGTCTTGGTCGTCGCTCTTTGTGTGCTTACTTGGGGTTTCCTGGGACGGGGGACTGCAATGTCAGTCAGGCGGCAACAACCGTCGCTGCGAGAAATGTTCAGAAAAGTTCTCGCCTTTCAATGCATGTCAGAGCCGCTGTTGCTGTGGATGTTGCACGTGGCACTTGATTCGTCTCTGTGCTCAAGAAGCCACGTTGACATAACAACAGCAGCAGAGGCCTCCAGCGGGCTTGCTGCTTCATTGAGGAGGTCAACCCTCGCATGATCTAACCTGTAGAAGCACCCACCAGGCATCACGAGGCCGGGCAATGTAAGCGCGGACCATGTCAGCCTGCAGCGTCCTACAGGGCAGATACCTCAAAAACCCAACACCAACTTTGGACGCGTCGCTTGCACCATGTCCGTGCAAATGGGCAAGGCCATTGGTAACGGCTGACATGCGCACGAACCTTTTAGCTGACGCTTGCATGCCGCCAGGCCCATCGCAGGGCTTGGAATGCATCCAGGCCAGCCATGAGAAATGCACATGAACCTAAGGTGCTGAAAGTATAAGATCAAGGACTTAAGTGGGTTTGGGGTTCGCGTGTTCGTAGGGCCTGGACGCTCTTTTTGAAGTACCTCAGCACCCAATCTCGAACCGCCTCGAAAGTGAATCCATCTCATTTATTCCTTCCTTCTGTGTTCTGTCCCTTCCGAGTTCCCTCTGCCTTTGTTCTGTACCCAAATCTATATACTCCTATCAAAACGAACACAAGCTCTGCCCAGCATGGGTTCTATTGTGGTGGGATACCGGCATCACGACTGCGAAACTTCATCGCACCCATTGCGCTTCAAACCTATCCTGCGCATGCGACTTCTCGATGCCTCCTAGCCTGGTCGCTGATGATTCACCTGCTGGTCGACATTTGGCGACTCAGAGCCCCCAAACCTTCTGAAGCACGCTTCCTTACGCCTGCGTTTACTTCACTGAGCTCTAAGCATGCTGCCATGCTGCGAGGCGTGGATGCGATTTGATAGATCCTGTTGGTTTGATCCATAAGGTCTTCTCGCTCATGCTTGCGGAGGGCGGCACAATGACTTGACCTCAGGTGCAGTAAGCATGCACAAGTTCGGGACAGTCCTTGTAGCCTGGGCTGGACTTGGGTACAAGGGTGCTATCCGCTGCTATCCTTCCGGAATTCGTCTGAGTTCATGGCCGCTGCTTCTGCACTGCCTGGCCCCCTAAGAGCACGGAAGTCCTGGATTCATCTTGCATAGAGCCGAACTCGAGCATGCCTGCGTCTGTCGGAGACTGCACCAAGATCGGGGACCCAACCATAATGTCTTCGGACTTATTAGCAGAAACCCAGAAACCAGGGAGGCCCAAAAAACCAGGGAGGCCCAGAAACCAGGGAGGCCCAAGAGACATGTCCTAGCATTGACCCACACTGACCCAGATGCCATCTTAGAGCCTGAATGCCCTATATCTAGCAGCATCTCGCAGCCATGGCCTGGATGACGGACTTGTTCACTCCCATCATGCCATGGAACTGCACCCGAGATCGCACTCAGCCGGGAGTCGTCCTTGTTTGGGCTAGAGATTTGAATCTTGAGGGCTTGAAATCATGTTTGGCGGCCTTCTCGTGCACAAGATCATGTACTCATGAGACGGCCAGCTGTCCCAGATCCTCCCCGACCATCAGTCCGTGCATGTTGTTGATCACCGTGGAGGATCAGGCATCAGCTCACCGTTTAGTGCCAGTGTTTGCCTTCCTCGCAAATACTGGCCGTCATGCATGCTGCTGGTTGAAGGCTCCGTCTAAGATGGCTGCCGCTACCACTAGCCTCACATCCTATGCAAGGCTGAAGTTTCACGCAGAGCGTGATTTCATGAGAAATTTGGCTTGGCCCACATGTCGTTTCTCCCCGAAGATCCTCGGATTTGCGTGGATACCCATCTCAGTGCTGTACATCTGGCGGGCGCGCCGGCACGTGTTATCCGTTTATATACATAAGAGTCGCTAGAGTGGATCCAAGTCTGGGAACTCAATCAAAGTCAGGTACCGACATGAAGGGCACCCCGATGCTGATTCCAAGCTACCGAACGTGGCAAACGAGGACTTTTCTCGCCGCTCTTGGGACGGCAAATGTGTTAGGGTTGATGGGAGCTGCTTTCCACTTCGAGGCTCTCATGCCAAGGCATTGACAAGGAAGAAGAGATGTGGCGCATTGAGGGCTTGAAGCTTGGACTGGGTGAGCTGGCGAGGCCTTCGCTTGAAAAAAGGCTTGCAGGTTGCCTGCAGAGAATGCTCAGGTGGTTAGCTTATGGTCGTCAGCTTATGGAATGTTGTTGCAGCAGGTCGTGCTGAGTAAGCACAAACGGAGAAGATCGGAGAAGCCTTAGTGTACCCTGTTCTTGAAAAAAAAACAGCCTGGGGGGTTGGGGCAGGGGGGTCCGATTCAGGGAGGCCGAAGAGCGCTTAAACCACCAGGCCACCTGCTCTTGCAGGATGACATGTCGAGATGAGTCCATCTGTTTGGTTTTGGCTTCAACAGGTCCCGAACTTTCAGATCAGTGTAAGAGGTTCAGCTCCAGCAGTGGATGCCCCATTCATTCTCAGAGGCTGCTCAAAACGGCCGTACAAAAGCCATTGTGGCATGAGTGAGTTGCGGACCAAAAAAATGCCGAACCCTTCCTGCTCCTCGTCCTAAACCACCAAAGATATAGAATCCTTACAGCAACTGGGAGGGATCCCGCAGAACCCAGAAAAGGGATCCCGCAGAACCCAGAAAGGCCTCAGGACAAGGCTGGCCAGTGGCAAAGGCCTAGGCCTAAACTAAACCCCTGAACCCAATCGCTCCATCACCACTCCTTGCTCTATGTTCGTTCTGAGGCCTCCTTGGCCGGCGTTCTCTACTTTGTGTGGCTCCGACAATGAACAAATAGATGAGTGTATATCTATATCTCTATACATACAAGTGTAAATAACCCACATACATATATATATATATATATGTATATACATATATATATATATATATATACACATATGATACCCACCCATGTGCCCACGTTTCTGCTTCGGGTTCAAGGAAAGTCTCCGACTTTCGCATGCTTGGCCTGGTGAAAGACCAACTGCACGCTACCATTTTGGATTTTTTGATTCTCATGAAAATCCAATTTCCGCAAATCCGAAAATCCAAAATTGGTTCTGGCATCTCCGCCAAAATATTGAATTTTTTGTTTTCGCAGGGAAAATGCTGTCTGTGGCTGCGCATGCGTCCTGCGCGCTTGCCTGCGGGGCGTTTGTATGAGGCTTTTCGATTTAATACAAATCACGAGGGGGATGCATTTTATGTACTTTCGTTCCAAAGATGCTTTTCTCCAAGAAGTCTTAATTGACTAGAGTCTCTGGGGGTCTTTTTTTCAAGAGCTGGTGCTCCAAGACGATGCAGGTGGTCATTAGCTATCATCTCTGAAGTTTACTCATAGCATCGAGCGTTAAGGAGTTTCCTTAATCAAGCACTCACACCATATTCGAATACACATAAACACTCAATATTCAACTATTATAGTATGTTTCCGTCAGAGCATGACCTAGTTAATTTTGGCATGCAGTTGTATGTACTTCTCTCATACTTGGTGTAGGTCTAATACGGGAAGTAATCAACACCAACATAAAGACCATTGCCATATACTTTGGGCCAGTGAGTATGAAGACAGCATAGCAGCTAACCAAAACTTGGACCGGTAGTTCAATGCAGTAATATCACCAGATAGGAAATCAAACTAGACGTAGTAGTTGATCAAGTATCCGCTCATTGTTTAGATATTAGAGAGCAAAAGTTCATTGAGAAGCAGGACACAACAAATGCGAAGATGTACCGAACACATACCATGACACATACTGTACATAGCGTCAAAAGCACGTGTGTGTACCTCAGTAAGAATACCACATAGAAAAGCAAACAAAACACAGCAGTTGAAAAACACGTTTGCTCACCATTTAGATACTAGAATGCAAAGTTTCATTGAGAAGGAGAAAATAACAAATGCGAAGATGCGCCGAACATAACGTCAACAGCACGTGTATGAGCTTGCTTCCACTTTATATATGAGTCGAATTAATCTAAGTAAAGGCGAAGCACAGAGTAAGTATCAGCGACATAACTATATATGGCCGAAGTCTAACTAAACATGTGCTGCACACAAGTTGCCGAACAATTTGTTCTGATTTAAAGTGTACTGTGTACTATTTTGGTGACACCCAAAGTCTTAAGCGTATACGAGTGAAACCATTGGTCAAATAATATGTACATATGAAGCCATAAACACATGCTACACACCAAATAGCAGTCTCACATATTTGTTAACCTTGGCACTAGACATACTGACGTATCCGTCGTTGGACATCAACTGGTCATCCTACAATGGATTCCATACATATCGGATGAATACGAACTTGCAGTTTGCTCAACACCGAAACACCTCACTGCCCTTGTTAGCGAATCTGTGGCCTCGTGGTCTTGCTGCTTTAGTTGCAACATGAAAAGCAGATTCAATTTGTTTGTGACACAGATGATAATGCCAGCGCGACGATGACGGCTATTGTACTGGCGTTACTTATACTCCTGTCACTGTAGCTAGTATTGCGACATTGCGTCTGCCTTGTACAAGGCTGATGCGAACGAAATGCTGAGAATCCATGTCACACACGTATGAATCTTGTTGTCTCCGTGCAGAAAGCTATGCAATGAAGCCTGTATTATTCGCAAATAACGATGAATTTGGCATCCACTTCTTAGCTTGTAAGCTGTATATTTCTATGTATTTCTATAAAATCTTACGTGCGGTTGTACCACAGCTTGTCTTACGACCCCATGAGATGTGGCGTCATGGTAGATTCAGAAACATGTTG